AGATCTTGGTGTGGAATGGGACTATAACATTGAAGATGACATTGAAACTCTTCACACAGATGGACCTTTACACGATCCTGTTATTGTTTTGGTATGTGGTATTACAGGTTTACTATGTAGTTGGTTCTGTAATTTTATAATTAATTTATCTGAAAACACTTTTACCTTGAACATTGACTAGTCAGTTGCTTGTTTTTTATCTGCCCCTCTCTACTCTTTGTGCAACTTTGTCATATATTTTATTATATGTACATTATAAACCCAATAACATAGTATTATGATTCCTGACTTCTAGTAATCCATTATCTGTTAGAGACAAAAGATGAGATAGATTTTTATATTTACCCACATATTTGCCATTTCTGATGCTCTTCCTTCTTCCCTGTAAATCTGACTTTCCATCTAGTATCATTTACCTTTGATTAGAGAACATCCTTTAGCATTTCGTGCGGTGTGGGTGTGCATGCTAGCAAAGAATTCTCTCAACTTCCACTTATCTGAAAATATCTGTATTTCACCCTCATTCTTAGAAGGTATCTTCAGCAGGTTATCTTCAGCAGGTATAAACATTTTGGTAGCTAGTGCTGTGCGTGCGTGTGTTAGCACTTTAAAGATGTTCTTACGCTGTTAGAGGGGAGTTGAAGGAATGGGAGGGCCGATTAGGGAGGTAGATGTGACTACAAGGTGGCAGTAGCATGCACTGGCTTTATCGACCCCTTCACAGGTTTGCAGGTCGGCTACTGGAGAGAAGCAGAAGGGAACTCCTGGGACAGAGGGGATTGGAGAGGGGGTGTTTTTGGTGAGGGGATGTCAATCAGCAGCACAGTGGGGAGTCTCCTAAGAACAGCAACAGCTTGGGATCCTGACAGCCACAGACTCCTCTATAGTTAGCAAATGGCCAGTGCAGTTTCTTCGGGGTTTGCTAAGCAAGCAGGTTCTAACTGGCTAAAAATACGCCTGTTTGGGCTGCACTGAAAAGAATTGGGTATGTAAAACTTTGAGTTTGGTGCTAGCAGGCGTCTGAGCTAAAGGCTCTCAGCCTGTTGTGAAGAAACAAACGAAGTAGGGGCCAACATACAGGAGCTCTCTTTTGACTCATAACGTTCATCTTCTACAACCCATCATTTATGATGAGAAGTCAGCCCCGTTCATATTGCTGCTCTGCATGTGAGGTTTCCATTTTCCCTGACTGCTTTTTAAAGATTTTCTCTTCATCTTTTTGTTTTGTTTCATTGTTTGTTAAGCCGTTTGACTGTGATACGCTTAGTTTGTGAGGTTCTTTGTATCTGGCTTGGGGTTCACCAAGCATCTTGGTGATCTAAGTTGATGGGTTGTTGTTGTTGTTGTTGTTATTTTTTTACCAAATTTGTGTTGATTTTCCATTGTGTGCCAAGTGCGTTTTTCCCCCATCTCTCACTCCTAGGACTCGTTTACACGTATGCTAACCCAGTTGAAATTGTTCCATACGCCTCCTGGGCTTTGTCCATCCTTCTGTAATCACTTTTTCTCTGCTCTTCAGATTGGATAATTGCTATTGAGCCGTGTTCAAGTTCACTGACTGTGTCTTATGTGGTCTCCAATCTGTTGTTGAGCCCATCCGGTAAATTTTTCATGTCAGATGGTGTTCTTTTCTTTTCTAGAATTTCCATTTGGTCCTTTTTTTTTTTTTTTTAAATAAAAAAATATCATTTCCATTCCTATGCTGAGATTTCCATATATTTCACTCATTATGTCTAACGTTTCCTTTAAGTCCTGTGTCTTCATGTTGTCTGTTTCTATGGGCTGCTTTTTTTTTTTTTTTCTGGATTATGAGTCACATTTTCCTGCTTCTTACAATTTTTTAAATGTATACTGGAATTATAGTTAAGTGTATACCAATTATATAGTTGGTAAGTTGTAGGGCATTTGGTTGCCTTCTTTTCAGGCTGTGGGGTTTTGTTCTGGCTGTCATTTCCTCCTGATCTGTGAAGCCTGATTTTTTCTTTGTTAGGGCTGATCTGTTTCAAGTTTGTCCTTATTCTTATAGCATGGCCTTTTTGATGCTTTAGCTGAATACCTGAAGTGTTAGCGAGGCCTCTTCATCTGGCTAGATAAGAACTCTTATCTCCCTAGCGCCACCTGACCTTGGGTGTCTCTGTCCCACTCCCAGCCCCACGGCAGCTCCTCGCCGGTAGACATCATGGTGTCTTGGCCTGGGCATGCACAGACCAGCCTTCCCTCTCGGATGCATGCAGCTTCTGGGTCATCCCTCTGTGCAGCGCCTTCTTCTTTAGGGCCCTGCCTACAAGTTCCAAACCCCACTCTCCATCTCCTCAGCTCCTTGAGACTGCTGTCTTGGCTTAGGCTCATGCTCCCTGTGCAGGGCCCACAACCTGACCCTGTCAGGAAGCCAGGACCTGGCCTATTTCTCTTTCTCACAGCATCACTGTTCTTTGCTGTATTATTCATTGCCCTCCCCCCCAAAAAAGTTCCCTCATCTGTTCTGTCCAGTTTTATTGCTTTTAATATCAGCAAGGCAACTCTATTACTCCCTCATGGATGAAAGCAGAAGACATCTACCTGGTTTGAAAAATATTATTGGATTCTGTATGTAATTTATCAAATTCTCTATAAAAAATATTATCCTAATTTAAAACCAAATATCCCCACTCAATCCCAAGGATGTTTTTTCTTTCTTTGAAAATTATTTGGCAAAGTGTCTGTCCAAATCTTTTGCCCATTGTTTTGTTTTGTTTTTTTTTTTTAAAGATTTTATTTATTTATTTGTGAGAGAGAGAATGAGAGACAGAGCATGAGAAGGAGGAGGGTCAGAGGGAGAAGCAGACTCCCTGCCGAGCAGGGAGCCCGATGCGGGACTCGATCCCAGGACTCCAGGATCATGACCTGAGCCGAAGGCAGTCGCTTAACCAACTGAGCCACCCAGGCGCCCTTGCCCATTGTTAAAATAGGTTTTTTTTTTTTAAATTTTACTTTATTATGTTATGTTAGTCATAAAGTAGGTTGTTTTATCTTTTTTGTTGAGTTTTAAGAGTTCTTTATATATACTTGATATGTCCTTTATGAAATATATGGTTTGTCAAATATTTTCTTCTGTAGTTTCTTTTTGTTCTCTTAATAGTGTCTTTCACAGAGCAAAATATTTTAACTATCCTGAAGTCTAATTTATCAGTTTTTTTTCTTTTATGGATCAAGATTCTGGTGTGATGTGTGTATTTCTGCCTAATCCAGTGTTAGAGCATTTTCTTATTTTTTGCTAAAAGTTTTATAGTTTTATATTTTACATTTTGAGTTGATTTTTATATAAATTTTGTGTGATGTGTCAAGTTCTTATTTTTGCACGTGGATGTCTATATTACCTATTGCTGCATAACAAATCACCCTGAATGTCTTAGCTAAACACAAACCGGCATTTATTATCTCATAGCCTCTGTGGGTCAGGCCACTGGGAGCTGCTGAAATGGCTAGCTGTGGCTCAGGGCATCTCATGAGGTCACCGGTAACTGTGGCTGGTCTCCCCAAGGCTCCAGCGGGGACATCTGCTTCCCTGCTCAATCACAGGGCTGTTGGAAGGCCTCAGAAGATTGCCTCTAAGCTTTCCCATGTGGTAGCTGGTGGGCCTGCATTCTTCACTACATGGGCTTCTCCTTAGACTTCATAAGGGTCCTTATCACATGACAGCTGGCTTCCACTGGAATGAGTGATCCAAGTGACAGAGTGCAGCCAAGACAGAGACCATCTTTTTAAACCAAATCTTGGGAGTAACATCCCATCCATGCTGCCATTGTCTGTTTGCTGGAAGCAAGTCACTGAGTCCAGACCACACTGAAGGGGAGAGGAATTAAGCCCTACTCATTGAGAGGGAAAATATCAAAGGGTTTGTGGACACATTTTTAAAGCCACCACAATGACTTGTTCTGGTACCATTTGTTGAAAAAAAAAGGTCTTTTTTTCCATTAAGGTATCTTTTCATCTATGTCAAAAATTATTCATGTTTCTGTGCGTTTATTTCTATCATTCTGTTTCATAGGTTATATAACTTTATAGCAAAAATATACACTAATCAAAATTTTATTAAGTTTGAATGGCTGGAGCTCAGAAGGTCCATTTCACTCCCATAATTACACTGCAGTCTTTTCTGGTGGCCCAGGGGTCTGGCCTCAGAGCCCTGCCATTAACCGCCATGCTAGCCTACCTCAGGGCTTTGTCCACTGATAGCTGGGCGCCCACAGGGAACAACGTGAGCTAGAGATACAAGGAGGAGATTTGTAGCTAGGACAGTGGGGTTGTGGACAAGCACTGCTGTATCACCATGACCTTTCTTTTCCTCTCTAAAGGGCTGGAACCTCAGGCTGGGAGCCCAAGAGCATGGCAATAGCTGTCTGGGGCTGGAAGCTGTAGGCATCTGGCTAGAGTGTAAGGGTCAATGCTTGGTTTGTAATGTTGTTTTAAAAACAACTAAGGGAAAAACAGAGAAAAGAACCCAGATAACCAAATCCTTCATCCTAGTGGGTTCAATATTGCTCGATTTCTCAAACAAAAGCTATTTCTAAAAGTTTCATTTTAGAAGTGACTTTGGTTTTCTCTGGTTTAGTAGAATCCTGGACAATTTTCATTTTCTTTGAATTTCTCCATAATGTGTACATTTTCTGGAGGGAACATTATTATCTTTGTCATTATGACAAAACAGTTATTTTAAAGAATAATTTTCAAATGCAGTAGGGAGATATATAACTTAAGGAAATCCACAGTGAATCTCATTGAAAATGTATTATTTTTATTATATAAACTCTTATAACTCTATTTTTCATATTTTTTATGGTCAAAGTTTTATATGTTTACATTTTTTTTTCTTAAACAGAACATCCTTGTACTTTAGTTGATAGAAACAGAAACATTATATTTTTAGAAACTGCTTGAAAGCTTTCCAGCTTTAATAGGACAACTGTTCTGAAATAGTAATCATTTTTATTGAAAATGTAAAACCCCTTCAGGTGACTTACCTATCTATTTCACGTATCCATTAGATCATCCCTCAGGAGAACGATACTCACTCCAGCCTGACATATAAGTACATCATTCATGAAGATTCTGCACCTACAATCAGCAGCAACAATGTCATCCAAGAAGAATTAGATACTTTTGAGTGGGCTTTGAAGAGCTGGTCTCAGTGTTCCAAACCCTGTGGTGGAGGTAACAATTGAACCCATTTAGTACGTTCAGTGTAATTCATAGAAGGCCAGTTATGGCCTTTAAGGGAAAACCCTTAAAGATTGCCTCGAATTGAGGCCATAATCTGAGAAATACCAAACATAACAACCAAAACATAAGTACAAAGCATTTTTACTGAAATCTCTGAATCTACAAAGGATGGGAGTCTGTTCCTAACAACGGTAAACCTTCTTAAAATCCTCTTGCCCTTTTCCCTCATATTCATATGGTGGTACCTTTAATGACTTTACTTTTCCCAAACTCTCCCAAATGCAGTGTCCTGTGGTTCTGGCCTTTATTCTTCTTTTCCACTTTTGCTTTCCATATCTGTGCATTTCTTTTCTATCAGTGTTAGTAATAAAAGAGCTATTAGTTGTACCAGGTAGCAGGTACTGTTTTAAATGTTTTAAATGTTCTCTATATTAGTGCATGAATACTCAAAATGGCTCTGTGAGGTCAGCACTATGATTATCTCTGTTGTAGTGATTGGAAAACTGAAGGACAGGGAGGAGTAGTTTGCCCAGACCCTAAGATACAGACCCAGGTGGTCTGGCTTCTGGCTACACGCTCTTACTCCATTGTGCTGCCTCTCTGCCCTTTCTCCAGTAAATCCCATTAAGCCATTTGCAGAGTTTTTCAGTTTCTCACTTCATCCATTCCTCTGCTTCTGAACAATAAACACTCCAGAACTGAGCTGGTCTAGAGGGAATTTCCTCAACAGGCAGGAAAAGGCAAAGGGCTGAGTCATGCTGAGTAACCGAGAACAAAAAAATTATTCAGAGTAGGGAATGCATGCATCAACCATTTATTTTATAATTCTAAATTCAAGGATGTATTATTTATTTATTTATTTGTTTGTTTATTTAAACATTTTATTTATTTGACCGAGAGAGAGAGAGAGAGAGAGAGCACAAGCAGGGGCGGGGCAGAGGGAGAGGGAGAAGCAGGCTCTCCACTGAGCAGGGAGCCTGATGCAGGACTCGATCCCAGGACCCTGGGATCATGACCTGAGTGGAAGGCAGATGCTTAACCGACTGAGCCACCCAGGTGCCCCAAGGATGTATTTTTAAAGAGGCCTTTTTTTTTTTTTTGAGGTGGACGGGACATAAAATGCTTTTAGTTATTTAATATGACACTTAATCCATTACAAAATGCATGTTTAATTTGAATCTTCTCTTTTGCTGCTCCCTCAGCATCTACTTGGTTACAAGGTTTGTCAGACACACCTTTTTAATATCTACCACATCTGTTCCTTCCTCACCAGGTTTCCTTCATGATTTTGGAAGGGAAGATTATTGCAAAAGTCTTTTAACTAGTCAGCTAATTTGATTTTCTTCTCTTCCTTTATTTCCAGGGTAATCTTGAATGAATGACTGAATGAATGACCGAATGAGTAGTTATAGTATTTGTCTGATTTAAATCTTGTAGCCTCCTAATGTGTTGTCCTGAAGACATAGAATCATTTATGTAGTATTCTTGTCAAAAGCGTTTTTGACCTGAATCTAATCACTAGGAGGCAATTAAATAAACCTCAATTGTGGGGCATTTTACAAAACAAATGGCCTGTACATCTCAAAAATATCCAAGATAAAAAGAGGCTCAGAAACTATACCTGCTTAATTCCATGACAGCTAAATGCACTGCATAATCCTTGATTGGGAAAACATTGCTATGAAGAACATGATAGGGGAAACTGGCAAATTTTGAATTTGGTCTGTATATTAGATAATAGTACTATATCTGGGGCGCCTGGGTGGCTCAGTCGGTTAAGCGACTGCCTTCGGCTCAGGTCATGATCCTGGAGTCCCGGGATCGAGTCCCGCATCGGGCTCCCTGCTCAGCAGGGGGTCTGCTTCTCCCTCTGACCCTCCCCCCTCTCATGCTCTCTCTATCTCATTCTCTCTCTCAAATAAATAAATAAAATCTTAAAAAAAAAAAATAGTACTATATCTGTGTTAAATATTCTCGTTTTAAGAATTATGTAGGAGATGTACTTGTTACGGGCAGTATGCCGAAGTATTTACAAGTGAAGGATCAGGATGCCAGCAACTTACTCTCAAAGGGTTTGGCAAAATTTTATGTATATTATATATATTGCATATTATAATTAAGCTATTATATATGTAAAAATATATACGTATGCACCTCAAATATAGTGACACGTAATACAAGGTTAATTTAGCCGCAAGGCATAACAATGTTCATTGTGCTTTCCTTACAACATTTTTGTAGGTTTGGAATTTTTTTTTAAATTTAATTAATTAATTATTTACAGATGTCAGGGTTGGTGAGTGGGGAGACCTTCAAAAACTCCCTGTGACTGCCAAGATAAAAAGTCCAAACACTAGTCTGGCACTTGAGGCTTTTAGGATTAGATTCTTTCCTATCTCCTATCCCCTTCACACAGGAAACTTCAGCCATTCAAACAGACCTGCCATTTTTAACGTGTCCTTTCCTTCGCTTGGAGTATTCTTCTGCTTCCTTCCCTTTACCCAACACTGTTTGAACTTGAAGATGCTGATCAAGAAGTGCGGATCTTGTGAGCAGTTCCTGCCCCTCCTCTGGCTAAGTTGAGACCCTCCCCTCTGTGCTCCTTTGGCGCCTTCTACAGTAAATTATGTGCATAACCCTCTAAAAGCCTGTGTCCGTGGTATTGTCACAGTGGTTGTTCAGATCTGTCCCTTACACTAGACTGTATGTTCAGGGGTCTAGTTCATTAGCGCATGAACACAGCTATATTTAATCATTTGTACTTTATTAAATGTAGGCCCTGAAAAGTTAAGGATTTTGTTTATTTAATTGACTTCTGGACCTTCAGTGTCTACAGCAATGCCTGGCCTCCTGTGCGTCCTCAGTCAATATTTGTTGAATGAACGACTGAATGACCAAATATGTAGCAGGATGAATAAGTGAGTAAACCCAAAGAAATGCGTTTCCTTTCCTAGGTTTCCAGTACACTAAATACGGATGCCGTAGGAAAAGCGATAATAAGATGGTTCACCGCAGCTTCTGCGAGGTCAACAAGAAGCCAAAACCTATTAGAAGGATGTGCAATATTCAAGAGTGTACACATCCACTGTAAGCACTTATTTTAACTATCATTTCCTGAGCACAATGTGAGAGGGATTTCAATGTCTCTAGTTCTTTTTAGTTTTAATTTTATTTTTAGTCAAAGCTAATAAACGTACCTGGTTTAAAGAGTCAGATCATTTCACAGGACTTATATAGAGCTGTGTTTCCCTGCCCTTTACCATACTCCTGTTTCTCAAAAACAACCACGTTCCAGCTATGATGCTTCTTTTGATATTTGGTAACTCCTTGTTTCTAGCTCTCTTAAGTAAAATGTTTTAGCATCTACTTGGTTTTGGGGGGTGGGGGAGGTTTTGGATATTATGTATATTGTGTATATTGAATTTCCAAGTGGAAAGCGAAGGGTTGAGCATTCTTTTACAATCCATCCCCAAATACACACCCATAGCCCAGACTTCTCTCTTCCCCAGTATTTCCAATATTGTTCTAACCTACCTTTTACTGATATTAATCTTCAGAGTTTATATTGTCTTAATGACTTCTGTCTGTCCCAACAGGTGAGTCATTTGCTGCTCTTTCTTTCCTCGTGAAACTTTCTTTCTTGAGAATTAATGAATATTTTGATTTTTATGCTTTGTTTTCTACTACTTTTCAGTAATTCATCCCCATACTGTCTTCCGTGAGTATCAATCTCCTATAAATACTAAACACTCAAGTATCCTGTTACGTGCAACTTCTGAGAGATCTCTCTTAGAGAATTTTGTGTGTTCCAGCTCTGCCCTGGACTTCTTTCTGTTCGTCCTGGGGTGTCTTTTTACCTCTTCCTAGATAATCCCATTGCCTCTCCTTTGCATCAGATCTCCTGATTCCTGCATTTCTTGTCTTCTTATCTTTTCTTGTATTCATTTGTTCTGGTAATCATGTCTTCCAGTAGCTTCATGAAAAATGTATATACAAAGTAAAAATTTTTATCTTAAAAATTCTCTTACACCTAAGAAAAGTAGCTAAGAGGTTAAAGTATAAGAGTATAGGAAGCCTTTCTTCTCTCACTCTTGATTGTTGGAATACACACACATAGAATTCCAAACCGTAATGTATTTTCCTTCAGAATTTTGAAACCATTGTTCCATTGTTTTCTAGATTCCCATGTTGCTGTTGCAAAGTCATTTACTCTTCTGGTTCTCAATGCTTTCTTTCTTTTTTTTTTTTTTAAAGGTTTTATTTATTTGATAGAGAGAAAGACAGCGAGAGGGAACACAAGCAGGGGAAGTGGGAGAAGGAGAAGCAGGCCTCCCATGGAGCAGGGAGCCCGATGCGGGGCTCGATCCCAGGACCCTGGGATCATGACCTGAGCCGAAGGCAGACGCTTAACGACTGAGCCACCCAGGCACCCCTCAATGCTTTCTATTTTTGTTTGTCATTCAAAGTTTATAGGATCTTCTTTTTGTTCCCGATGTCCCGAAATTTCACAGTGGTAGAACTGCCCGTCGTTGATGCTCTACTTTTCTCATCCATTGTGCTGTGTACTCAAAGACTTTTTAAAACACAAAACCAGTATCTTTCATCTCCAGGACATTTTCCTGTGTTTTTACTTTGAAAATTTTCCCCTATTTTTTCAATATTCTTTTTCTAAGATATTTGTAGTTATGATTCTTAAACAGATCTGATTCTCTTTTCTCTTCTCATCTATTGTTTGTTGTTCTACTTGCTGAATTTTTCATTTTTACTATTGTGTTACTATCTAAGAGCACTTTAATATCCAAGCACTCTGTTTTATTCCTCACGTGTTCCTTTTTTAAGGCATTGGATGCTTATTTCACAGATGTAAATATTCTTTTATCTCTTTTATGATATTAAAGATTATCTTTTCCATGCATTATTTCTTTTGAGTTCTTTTCCTTGTTTCTTTTCTCCCCCTCCATGATTTGTGTTAGAGGCTTTTCTGTGTCAGCTGATTGTTGGCTCTTCACGCACATAAGAATACAGTATTAAAAGGCTGCTTGGAAGTTTGCTTTATGCTCAAGACTTGCTTGCTGGTGGGCTTCACTGTAGGACAAGCTGGCTGGACTCTTTCATTGAAGATCCTCAGTGTATACTTAGGGCTTTTCTAAGGAAATGATCCGATTCCAAAGAGCAGCATCAGTCGTCTGCCTAGAGAGCATAAGCCTGTTCGATAGCTGTTCTGGAAGTCATTGCACCATTCCAATTGTGGATTCTTACCTAGCCCCCTGTTTTCACTCTGGTCTCTTTCTCTATTGTCTCTTGACTATGTCTGTTGTCCACAAGCTAAAGGTCTCGTTCATCTTCCACCAAGGATAAACGTCAGGATAACCTGCTGGGTTAGAGGAGGGGCAATCCACCGGTGGGGGTAAGGATCAGGAGGTGGACCTGTTTGCACGCAGACTTTTCCTCAGTCCCGTTTTCAGCCCTGCCTTCACCCAGTTTTGCAGTGCACACTTCCACCTGCGGCCACAATCCAGCATGTTCCTGGAGTTCTGCCGCTAAGTCAGTCTGCTTGCCAGCTTCTATGGCTGAGTTAAACTTCATTTCTCTTAGGTCTGCTGAGCTGGTAGCTGTATGTCCCACTGTTTATCTTTTGGTGCATTCTATCCAATTTTTTTTTTTTTACCTT